CCATTTTCAAGGGGATAAAGAGGCGGCATGGCGGCCGCGTTCTCTCGAGCCGCGGTTTCTGCGTCTCGGGCTTCTTTCGCCAGCCCTTGCCAGAAGCGCTCCGCGTGCCGTTGCGTCTCTGACAACGGATCGCGGGCCGGTGGCAGCGGCGGGACGGAGAAATCTGCGGTCTCTCGGGGGGTTCGAGCGGTGGGGGTTTTTTGGGGGTTTTCCGCGGCGGGGGTGTCTTGGGGGGTTTCTGCGGCGGGGGGTGGGCTCTGATCTGGGGGAGGGGGTGTCGCGCTGAGCCCCCCCCGGGCCCCCGCCGCCGGGCGGATCGCTCTCAGGGGCAGTCTGCGTTCCCGCTCCCACACCGAGTTTGGGAGTAACTAATAAACAGGTACGCGCCGCGCTCCATGTCTCCTGCTCTTCTATTGCTTTGCGTAGGGCTTTCTCTACTTTGCCCCATGCCTTAAGGTTTTTGCCACTGCCTGAGGATTTTGTGTCCTCGGCTAGCGCGGCAGTGCATTTTTCCCATATTTCCGGATGTAACACATCCACAGGGCGCTCAATTGCCCCAAGCTCAAGCAACCTCGCTATGGCAAGATAAAAATCCTTGAGCTTACACCCAATACCCCACTGCGTATGAATGGCACTTACGATCCTGGTGATTGCGTCCATGACGCTCGCGGATCCCAGGGACGTCTCCCCTACGCCTAGATACGGTTTGACCGTTCCGGCCGCTGCTCCCGTCCAGGTGTATCCTCCTGTCCTCCGGGGGAAATTTTCCTTTTTTTTTTTTTTTTTTTTTCTTATTTTCTCCCGGGTTTCGGCACCAGTATGTTGCCTTTATAAGGGGCAACGTGCGACCTGGTTCAGGTAAGGCAGCACGGCGGCCTGGCCTCTCCAGGCCGCTCGGGCTAATCAACACACGCAGATACCAATGTGGCAGATGGTCGAAAAGCCTTTATTATCCCATCTTGTGGGTTTAAATAGTCTTGGGGGTCTTTGCTACGTCAGAGGGGGGTTGGGGGGTCTCAGGGTTTAGTCGGGAGTGGAAATTTACCGGGACAGGTGTGGCTACACGCTTCTGGGGTTTCAGGGGTTAATAGCTAACGTGGGGAAGAGAGAAGGGGAGGGGTCTATCTTTCCGTCACATCCCGTGGTCTTCCGCTCCGCCTGTCTCTATCTACCACACCCAAGGGACCAAAGGCGTCCAGGGGAACCTCGTGCACCTTGCAAGAGTCTAACACGACTGTTGCTGCTGTGCAGACATCCACAGCTGCTGACCCGCAGGTGCTGGCGACTAGCTGGCCGAGCAGACCTCCATGGGCTCTGGGGTCTGGAGAGGAACTTGTGTCTGAGCGCGCCCCCCCTTCGCGCTCCGCTTCCTGTTTCCCGGGCCCGGGAGTGCTTGGCCATTAACATGAACAGTCGCCTTGCAAACATCTGCTAGATGGCCTGGCCTTCCGCATCGGCCACACACATACGAGGGAATTTTTCCTTTCTGTGCTTTCTTCCCCCGTTTGGTGCTCGCCTGAGCAGCACCCCGGGGCTGCTGCCAGCCCTGCGGTGCTGCCCAGACCGGCTGCGCAGCAGCAGCCCAAGCATCCGCCTTCCGAACCGAGGGGCCTAGGTCTGCACAGGCCGCTGCCATCTGTGAAAGTGTAGCCCCTTCAGGAAGAGCCTGTATGATTCTCTTGCATTCTGCGTTGCAGTGGATCCTAGCAAATCTCGCAAGGACCATTCGCCTTAGCTCAGGTTCTACCACCTGCCGCTCCACCGAGGCAGTCAACCTCGATGCAAAGTGCATGAATGACTCATCGGCCCTTTGAACAACAGTCAGAAAGGGTTCCATCGGGGCAGCCATTTCTAAGGTCTGGATCACAGCTGCTAAGCCTAACGTCGTGCACTGCTCAAGCACAAGAGGATTGTATCCAGCCTGCCCCTGAGGATCAACATAATTACCTGTGCCCATCAACATGTCGGCGGTAGCTACACGTCTGGGATCCTGCTGCCCTCGCGTAGCATTCTTCCGTACTGCGCTGGCCACTAAAGCAGCCCACTTGTCCTCAAACACGTCAAATTGCACAGGGTTAAAAAGAGCCTGAGCCACAGAACGAATATCGAAAGGCGTCAGCAGGTTAGCAACAAGTAATTGGATCGTCTGCATAACCTCATCAGACCCAACACCATACTGTGCAACGGTGTCTTGGATTTCCTTCAACACCTTAAATGAAAAGGGCTGATGAGTGTTATGAGTAACACCCCTAAGCACAGGGAAAGCCTGAGGACCCCCTGGTAAGGCTGCATTATCCACTGTATCGTGTCCCGTAGACTCCGGGACACTGGCAGCCCCTGGGCTGCGAGGCGGTGCAACATCACTGGACACCACGCCCCCTGCAGCCTCAGCAGAGCCAGAGGAGCCTTCCCATTGATCCGGCAGGCTCCGCGAGGGGCCGAAGTCGCACATCTCCTCAGCCTTATCCAGGACCTCCTGCCAAAACCGCCCGTGGTCCTTCGGACGCACGGTCACCTGGCAGGCAGGGAGGGTCCACAAGGTTGTGAGAAACTACAGATTGAGATATTGTTTATTAAGATATATGTAAAGGTTAGACAATTGTGAGAAACTACAGATTGGGATAGTGTTTATTAAGATATATGTAAAGGTTAGACAATTGTGAGAAACTACAGAGTGGGATATTGTTTATTAAGATATATGTAAAAGTTAGACAACTGTGAGAAAAAATACAGACTGAGGTATTGTCTATTGAGATAAAGTTAGACCACGGAGGTATGCAAACAGCAAACGGTCACAGCTGATACAAGATAAGATAACAAGCACTTCAACTGGAGACTGAAGATAAAGATCACAACAACCATTCACACTAGGGGACTGCTTAAACAAACACAAGATAACGGCAGGAATTGACTTGCAAATTCCAGGGAGACAAAAGAAGAAATAGGAATAAAAGGAGACAGTTGGAGCGAAATCGGCGGAGCAGTCAAAGCTTCGGATTTTTGGAAGTTTTTGGGTTTGCTTCCCCAGCGCTGTTACCTTTGTCCATATCCTACTTGCTGTAAATTAATAAAATTCTTAATTGGATTATGTTCCGTTGTGGCGCAAATTTATAACAAGGTCGACTGGGAGGATCCGCGGCCACGGGGAGTCACCGGTCTCCTGCCGGCCGCGTCAGCAGTCGCGCTAAAGGTGAACACCCCAGTGCCCCGCTGTGCCGCAGTCCCGGCCCCCGCGGCAGGCGGAGCCGAACCAGCCGGTGCCCCAGCGGTGCTGTCTGCAGTATCAGCAGAGGGCACCGCGGCGGGCGCAGGCGGAGGCGCAGACCGCAACCCCAGCGCAGCGCTCCCATCCCCCGGGACGGGGGAAGGACGGGGCGAAGAGGGAGACGCGGCGCGCGGAGACACGGCACCGCGGGACGACACAAGGGAGTCCGGCACGCCCCCAAGGAGCGTCAGACCCGCGCCGCGCAGCCTCCCGGTGGGCACCGCCCCCATCAGGCGGGACGGGGCGGGCTGCCCGCCTGCCGGGGCGGGGTCCGATGGAACAGTGACCAACGCCCCGCCTTTGGCGGCCCCCACCGCCTGCGCATGCCTGGCAGGCCGCGCAGGCTCAGGGATCTGAGCGGGTTCCTCCTCAGAAGATTAACCCGAAACCGGAACGGGCAAATGCGCCTGTGTCTTCTCCAGGGAAAATGTAACACCACAGTTCGGGCAATTCACCGTCACCGAGTCAGACGCAATCCGAGGCGGGGGCTGATCCACGGGCCCCCGTTCACCCCCGAGCGCCGGGAAGGCACAAAGAGAAAGTGCTTTCCCGCCCAGCCCACTACGCCTGCGACGCGGGGCAGGGCGAGGCGGCCGAACCGGCTCCACCGACCGGATGCCTGGAGCCAGTGGGCTGGGAGCCCGAACCACCCCAGAGGAGGAGCCACCTTCCGGCTCACTCTCCCCGGGGCTAGGGGAATCAGGGTAACTGTACAGAGACTCGGCTTCCCCAGCATCCGCATCCGAGACAGATAGGTCCCCCAGAGAAGCCCGAGAACTGCCAATCTCAGACCCCTGCCAAATGGCATCCAACCTCTTCAACAGCATCATCAGCGGCCCAACATCTTCAAAACGATTATCAAGCAGGGCATCCATGAGGCGATCTCCCACGGGAGACCAATTCTCCCAGGAAAGGGCCTCAGCAAGATTGGGAAAGAATCCCTGTTCCCTTGCCCATAAAAACAGCCTCTCAAAATCATCCCAATAAAAAGGAACGCGTTTCCGCTTCAGCACCTCCCTCCAAACGTCCAAAGCCACAGACTCCTCCCTAATGCCCTCAAAGCTCTCCATTACCAAAAAAAAAACCCAGCAACAGGCAACGCGCTGAACAAACAGAAAGACCTCACCAACAGTTCCCAGCCTAAGCTGCAATACACTTTGGCGGTCACCAGATGTCGCTATAGGACACGAGAAAGCACAACACGAGCCACCTGCCACCTTGCAAGGCAAAAGAGAAAGTTTATTTTCTGACTCCAACTTTTATACTTCTCCAAAGGTGACAGTGGATTGGAGAGTGAACGGGCCACCTCTCCGAAGACATTGGACAAAGCACTAGTACATCAAGTCTCTCCACCCCCATGGAGGAATGCAAAACAACACATTATTTACAGAAACTGTGTGGGAAAGTTTCCCAATAGAATGTAAACTCAGAAGGCTTTAGAAAACTCAAGAATCAGGGCGACAGTGGGCCACCCACGACTAACAGGATCCAGAAGCTTTGATAAGTAGGCTACTGGTTTCTTACTCCCAGCCCAATCTTGAGCCAAAACTCCATATGCCGTCCCCCCATCTACATTAACAAACAGATAAAAAGGTCTCTTCAGATCAGGGAGGCTAAGTACAGGTGCATTACTCAATTCTCTTTTAAGGGCCTCTAATTGTTCCTCATCTTCTTGTGACTATTTGAGTAATCCTTTGTCAATTTATCATAGTGTCGTGATTTGACACAGAAAAAGAAAATTTTTTTTTTTTTTTTTTTTTTGGAAAGAAGAGATCCAACCAGTCAAGAGTCAAGTTTAGATACTGACACTGAAAATAACCAATTAAAAGTAGACACGCCTCTGAGAACACAGAGGGGTTAAAAGCAGAATTCCCAAGAGAATTATCTCTCTCTGGTTCCGGTCATGGCAAGGTACAGACCTCCTTCAGCAACTATCAGTTCAAGAATAAACAGAGAGAGCTAAAGAGAGTGTAAAGATGCCCTCCGTCTTCAGAGAAAAAAAGCAAACTCTGTTCTTAGACCCTCGGCCCCAGGGGAAAATGAGAGAGATTATAGTCCCGAAATAAAACACTAGACTATTGTTCCTAATAGTCCTTAGCAAAGCATCCTTAAAAGAGCCCTATAAGCAATATCTATCCCTGCACGGTAGTAAGAACACTGTAACATAAAAAAGAGTGTGTCACACTAGCCAGTGTCTCTGAGCAGTGCCACATATAACATGAAAACACAAGAGGTAGTGTTGCAGCATTTTTGAGAGAAAGAGGACATGAATTGTGAAAGTTGAGCTACTCCAGTCTAGGCCTCAGATTGAGGCCTGGTGGGGCCTTCAAAGCCTCTGACGCAGTTAGAAATTCAGAGCTTGTGGCGCAGATAGAAAATAGTCTTAAGGTGTTGTGGGGACCACTGGATTATCTGGGTGTGAATTAGTATAGGTTTTATGGTGTAAAGTGTAGGCCGTTTTAAGGAAAAGGTAAACAATGTTAGCCTACCAATTAGAGTGTCTTTGTTTCTGTAAACTATGTGGAAGCTTATATAAACTACTGCCTGATCTTGAATAAACGGAGAACATTGCATTAATCATATTGGTTGGATGTGCGTTTGTCTTGTCCAGCTTTCCGTTTTTCTGAGATTCCCTGGCTTTAAGGTAGCAACTGTGTTTCCTAAGAGTCCATAATACAAGGGGGACTCCTCTCTTCCCCAATAAACTCAGTATTAATTATCTTAAAAGATAAAAACTTAATTAAAGATCCAAATGAGTCTCACTATAATTTAGTAAAGTAGTAAGAAGAGAAATATTTTAGAAAGTTTTCATTTTAAATTTTGTATAGTTTTTTTCATTTTCTTTCTTTTCCTTTTATAGTAACAGTAGTAATAGTGTAATAAATTTTTTCCTTTATTATTAAGTTTAGCCTGCTTTACTCTGTTCTCAATCGCATTTCACAATATTCAATTGATAAATTGCATTTTCATGGGGTGCTGGCATCGTGCCAGCGTCAAACCATGACACATATAAAAGTTTACCTTTCCACTGAAATTTCCTATCCACTGCCTGCAGTACCCAAATAGTCCCAATAATTGCCTTACTTGCCTTTTAGTCCTTGGGGATGGGATTGAGACAATCTTCTTAACTCTATCCGGATCTAGTTTCTTAGTTCCCTTACTCCACCTGTGGCCCAAGTACTTTACCTCTTTTTCTACAAACTGCAACTTGGATTTAGACACTTTCAATCCCTTTATACTCAAAAAGTTCAGTAATCTTATGCTTCTCCTGTCTCACTGCCTCCTCCTCTCGTCCTGCACCTTAAAGGCTTTTTGCACATTCTGTCCCCTAGGGACGGCTCTCTTAATGCCCTGTATGATTATGTTCCGCAGGTCATCCATATGGGTCCTATGCTGCGGGTCTTGGTTATTCCATTGGGGATTTTGCAGGGGCCTTTTAGTGTCTGCTAATGGTCTTTGTTGATGTTTATTATCCTAGGTTCTCATCCCCATTTCCCTTGTAATTCTCCTTTTCTCTTTAAAATCCCCCAAACCCCAGGTCAAATCCCCCCAGATTTGGGTCACAACTTCCTAATTTTGGGTCCATACCCCCCAGATTTGGGTCACAACCCCCCAGATTTGGGTCAGAACCTCCCAGATTCGGCTCAGAAGCTCCTGGTTTTAGGTCAGAAGCCCCTAACATCTCCTTAAAACTCCCCGAATTTGGGTCAGAACCTCCTGGATTTGGGACAGAACCCTCCAAACTCGGCTCCAAATCTCAAAAACCTCTTTAAAATCCCCCAAATTTGGGTCCAAACTTTTCCAAAACCTCCTTAAAATAGTGGATCATTTTTGCTTTATCTTTTCCCTTTCCCCTACTGGGAAAGGCATGCCAATTATTTATCATTACTCCTAGAGGACTATCCTCAGGAATCTGGGGAAGCTTTGCAGGGGTTCCCCCACCCATGGGACCAGAGGGCTTGCTTTTCCTCTGTCCCATCTTCCGGAGTGCACTAAATTTTTCACACACACGCTCCCCTGGTTCGTGGCTGTCCTAGGGTGACGTTATGGTGTTTGTATCTCCAATCGTGTGTTCTGTTTATGTTTGATATTATGTTCTGTGCTTTCAGAACTGACTCTGAAAGTGAAGGTTTGTTTTGCCTTGTTATCATCTGGTTCACCTCCCCCCATGGTCTGCTGTCTAGAAAAGGCTAGGGCTGGCTGGCTGGCTTTGCTTTGCTTGCTTGCTTGCTTGGCTTGCTTGCTTTGCCTTCTTTCTTGCTTTGCTTGCTTCTGCTTTTGCCTTTGCTTCCTAGTTAGTTTAGCTAAGCAGTCCAATTCTTTCCCTGGACTGTTGCTTTTTCCTTTCCTCTTCCTGAATACCATCCAACCTGCTCTGGACATCTGGGAAACACCAAGGAACACCAGGAGCCTGCATTTTGTGATCTGCAGCAGCCATCCCCAGTGCTGGAGAGCAATCCCCCAGCGTCCAGACCCGGGCGACCACACCCAGGAAAGACTTTCTGGATCTGTTCATCTCTTCAGAGTGGTGAAAGAGTTTTGTTGTCATCTGGTGTTGTTAATTGTTTTGGTGCTGGGGAGTGCTTTGTTCGTTTAATAAACAGGTTCTTTTCCACTTCTCTCTCAGAGGAAATTTTTCCCTGAACCAGGTGGGTGGGGAGGGGCTGTGGGGGTTTATTTCCTGGGGGCTCCTTTCAGAGGGTTTTCCCCAAATTTGCCCTAAACTAGGACAGTGGCCCAAGCCCTCTCGGGTATTGGGAACCGCACTACTGAGGGTCCTCACTCACTTGGTCTCTACGAGACCTCTCACACACAGCACTCCGGGAAAACCACCCCAAACCGAGCGGGAAACCGGCCTATACTTACGCGTCCTGTGTCTTCGCTCGGATCTTCGTGCACAAAGTTTACAGGGGTAACCGGTTCTCCTTTTAACCGGCTCTCCTTTGCCCGCAGCTTAATTTAGGTTTGTCGGTAGAGAAACCGGGAGGTCTGGGACAATCGGGCCGCCAAAAAAAGGCGGGGCGCCTCCCGAGGGTCCCAGAACAACCAGGCTATTTCTCTGAGTCACGGCACCAAATTGTAATAAATTATGACACGGGACCAATTCGTGTCATTTTATAAAGAGAATTTTATTAATTTAGCAAGCAAGCAATACGGGCAAATGCAGCGCTGGGCGGCCGGGGAGCCTCTGCTCCCACCAACGGCTCGCACCGCACTTCCCGGTCTTTCAGTTCTTATACCCCTTCAGTTCCGGACTTTGTGATATTCTCGACGTGCTCTGCATCTGCGCAGCGTGTTGCTAGGGGTCTTTTTTCTGCTGTCCGGTGGTCGTTTGAGGAAAGCTCCTATTCTTCTTCCGCCGAGGTAGCGTTAACCCTGCAATAACTTCTCCAAATATGGTAACGCAGCCTTCAAAGATCTCTCAATTCCACTATCTACTAATAGCAGTACATCCTGCCCTCCTGCCCCACTGTTTCCTGCGACTTACACAATCCCTGGGGCTTTTCCTAATGAACAAAAACTATGCTATTGTCTTTCACACATGGCAAAATCCAAAAACAGGGAAATGGGATTCAGATATCAAAATAGTACAGGGTTCACCACAAATTGTAGAATTTATAGCAGTAGTCAGGATTTTTCAGTTATTTCAGGAACCCTCAATCTGATCACAGATTCAACGTATGTTGCAAATGTGGTCAAACGATTAGAGGGATCACTTTTAAAACACACGGACAATGAAATTTTATATTCATATCTATTGTGCATGAAAATAATCCTAGAAAACAGAGAACATAAATATTTTGTTATACACTTCAGACTGCATTCTTCACTTCCAGGGTTTTTAGGAAAAGGGAATGCTCATCCAGAAAAATAATCACAGACACTGCCTGACATTTTCAAGCAAGCAAAATTGAGCCATGCATTTTTCCACCAAAATGCACAAACATTGATGGAATCCTTTCGCCTTTCTAAAAGCCAGGCAGAGGAAATCATCAGTGCTTGCCCAGACTGTCAGTTTGTGCAGCTTCCTGTACCTACAGGAGTGGTCAATCTGAGAGATTTGCAAAGCCTACAGCTGTGGCAAACTGATGTCACAAAATACCCATCCTTTGGGAGGCTCAAAAACATTCATGTCTCTGTTGACACATTTTCAGGGGAAATTTTTGCATCATTACGTACAGGGGAGACCGCAGAACATGCCTGCAGACATTTTTTATAAGCATTTGCATCATTAGGGGTGCCACAAGAAATAAAAATAGATAATGGTCCAACTTACACAGGCAAGGTGCTTGACAAATTTCTGAAAAAATGGAGAGTCAAACATATTTTCGGTATTCCTTATTCTCCCTCAGGTCAAGCAAGCATTGAAAGAACACATCGCACCCTGAAATCCATTTTGGGTAAACAGAAAAGGGGGGAGGCAGACACACCACCTTATATGCAGTTGAACAAAGCTCTGTATGTGTTGAATTTTTTAAATGTTTCTTTCTCAAAGCCCACTCCACCAATTGTCAGACACTTTACAAACAGCACACAAGCAAAACTAAGGGAGAATCCTTCAGTTTTGGCCAGAAACCCAGAGTCAGGACAAATCAAAGGCCCATTTGCATTAATAACTTGGGGCAATGGTTTTGCTTGTGTTTCCACAGGGCGAGGACTGAAGTGGGTGTCAGCAAGGCACATGAAACCTTATTGGCTGCAGGCGCCAGTGAACGTGGACCTGAGAAGAAGAGAAGCAAGCACGCAGACAAAGGCAGACAACAATGCTGGAGACGTCTCATCAGACAACGATTGACAAATCAGAGACTTGGGGTTTTTTTCTAGGGAATCAAGTGTTATTTGGGTGTTGCTGCATTGCGGGGTTTCTCACAGAGGGTAGGGACATGGACATGGGGTTCAGACTGATAGCGTTCATGTGCTTCATTCTCTCGCCTGTTGCCTTGGGCAATAGGACAGACTTTCCCATGAGACAACCAAGGGAAAATGTGTGGGAGACTTTGGCAAAAGCAGCGTGCCTGGACAGCATTTGCTTGACCCATTCAAAACTGGGGAAACCATTTTGAACATGCTTGGTAGGTGTGCCAGTGGAAGAATGGCCAATCCCAAAGGGCATCCCTCCAAGGGTCCTGAAGTCTTTTTTCAGATCCTGTGGAAGGATGGCATGTTTGGACACAGTTCCTTCCTGTGGCTCACTTTGAATCTCCAGAATTGGACATTTTTGGGTCAACAAAAATAAAATTTCGAATCAAATTCATTTCATTGGGAGTGACAGAGACAGATAACCACATAATAGATGTCACTCCAAACCAGCTCTTTTACAGAAATGCATCATCCTTCTGTAATTACACCAAAATGATGAGCAAGCCATCCCTCCAAAATCCAACAATTCTACCAAAAGGGATATTTTTGAGTTTGCGGGGACAGAATTTGGCCTGCTATCCCTGCAAAAATCAAGGACGGTCCATGCAGCATTGAAAGATCTTTTGTTAATACGCAGCATGACCTTGATAAGAGAGCAAGAAGGAAAAAATCTAATGAATGAAGTAATCCAGATTGTGACGATGAAAATGTTAACACCTAGAAAAAAGGCTTGGAAAAATGGAATGGTTCTGCTTTCACAGCAGGTGGCATCAAAAAGAGCCTTGGTAGAGTTGGATCAAAAGAGGTTGTGGGCAGAGTAAGGATGCCCATGCCGTTTCTTTTACATCTAATGATTTGTTAGCTAACAATATGAAATGAG